AAGATCCCGTTTCCTATAACTCCCTCCTGGGGCGGGGGGGTTTCCCTTCCAGCTGCTGCAATGCTGGGACTCCTCCCTGCGCTCCCCTGCCTGCTTCTCCTCTGCCTGCCGAGCTTCAGCTCTGGCTCCGATGACGACGGCACTGTGGTGCTCACCACCAGTGGCCCCATCCGGGGCAAGCGCCTCCAGGCTGGCTCCAGCACAGTGACGGCCTTCCTGGGCATCCCCTACGCCGAGCCCCCCGTGGGGACCTTGCGCTTCCAGAAACCGCTTCCCCACCAGCCCTGGAGCCAAATCCTGGAAACCACCAGCTTCGGCAATGTCTGCCCCCAGCCTTCGCTTCCTACTTACCCTGAGGCCAAATTATTGACACCCACAATGCCGCAGTCTGAGGATTGCCTCTTCCTCAATGTCTGGGTGCCCCATCCCCGGCCCCCTGCACCAGCCCCCATCCTCATCTGGATCCACGGCGGTGGGTTCTTCACCGGGGCAGCCTCCCTCGAGATCTATGATGGGCGCTTTTTAGCAGCAACCGGGAAAATTATCGTGGCCTCCATGAACTACCGGCTGGGGGCCCTGGGCTTCCTGTCTCTGCCCCCGGCCGCCCCGGGGAATGCCGGCCTGTGGGACCAGCGCCTGGCGCTGCGCTGGCTGCGGGACAATGCAGCCGCCTTTGGTGGGGATCCAGCCCACGTGATGCTTTCCGGCCATGGCTCTGGGGCTGCGTCAGTCGGCTTCCATCTCCTCTCCCCGGGGAGCCGGCCCCTCTTCACCCGCGCCGTGCTGCAGAGTGGATCCCCCACAGCACCCTCGGGTTCGAGTTCACTTGAGGAGGCCAAGGAGAGAGGCCAGAGGCTGGGGCAGCTGCTGGGCTGCACCGATAGCGATGACACGGCCCTGGTGGGCTGCCTGCAGGGGAAGGAAGCAGGGGAGTTCCCCAAACACGAGTTCTCCGTCTTGCGCCACAGGGAGCTGCTGGGAATGCCCTTTGTTCCAACAACAGATGGGGATTTCCTGCCTGATTCACCATCAAGACTCCTGCAGGCTAAGCAGAGCCAGCCTATACCCATCGCAGCTGGTTTCACTGCCAACGAAGGCTCCTACCTGCTACTCTTTGCTGCCCCCACCTTACAGCTGCAGAACGCCAGCAACGTCGGTATGGAGGAGCTACTGCAGGTGTTGAAGCTGATGGTGCCAGGGGCACCAGAAGAGGCCGTCCAGGCTGTGGCTCGGTGGTACAGCCAGGAGGGGGAGAAGCAGGGTGAGGCACAGTATCGATGGGCCATGGAACAAATTGTTGGTGACTACATCGTTGTGTGCCCAGTAGCCGAGGTGGCTAGGCGAGAAACAGAGGCCGGCAATCCCGTGTTTGCCTACAGCTTCAACCAGCGCCCCAGTGGATTGTCTACAGCAGAATGGACAGGGGTGCCACATGGCTCTGAGCTCCCCTATCAGTTTGGAACTCTGCGGTCCCTGACAGGAGCCAACTCCACGCACACAGAGGCTGAGGAAGTGCTGAGCCGCACGATGATGCAATGGACTGCAGAGTTCGCCAGGGCCGGGTAAGGGAATCCCCCACTATCCTCTGATCCCCTGAGCCAGACCATGAGAGCAGCTGTCACTCTTTGGCCAGGGGAACACAACATCCAGGAAGAGCCGACAGGGAAAACTTCAGTGGTTTTCCCTGTCCTACCCCCCCCCGACACACACACAAATTGTTCAGTTCCCCACTCTGCCCCTTCCAATGTCTCTGAGCACAAAGGAAGTCCATATTCCCTGAGGGAAGTGTTGCTTCAGTCCCAGTCCAAACAATGGGAAACAGGTGCCATCTTTCCTGGGGGGGTCTCTCTTTGGAAAGGGCCATAGGCCAATGGTAGCCATCATGACTCATGGCAGCCTGTGGCTTCAATGTCATCAAGATCAATGGGAAATAGCAGCCATCTTTATAAAGGGAAACCTGTAGCATCACCCCATATGAGGAGAACAGGCGGAAGCAGACATCTTAATTTAGGGCAGCCTGTGTCTTCATCCATTTTGGAAACAATCGAGGATGGCAGTCATTTTGGAAAGGAGCCAAACTTTGCAAATTGGCTCCTAATGACCCCTGCCTCCAGGATGTCACACTTTGGCAGGAGCAAGTTCTCAGCCTTTCCAAGCCCAGGTACTAACCTCTATGTGGTGTGTTTAATTTCTCCCCAGGATGCGCACAGAGGATGAGGGCAGGGACAGAAAGCGGACCCAGTATGACCCCACAAAACAAAACTTCGTACACATCAAAATAAACTCGGCCCAGATTGAGGAGACACCCCTCACGGAACGCTGCAGCCTCCTAGCATCGCTGCTCGCAAAGAAGCCAAGCCCCACAGGTGAGCATCAGCAGGGTGAGCGGACAGCATCCCTAGAGAGGAACGGTCTGGTGTTCCCCATCCCTCTGAGCCAGCCACTCCTCCCCACTACTGAGGTTGGATTGGAGCTGGCGCCCCACAAAGGGGAAGGACCCCAGATCACATTCCCATTTCCATGGGATCTCCTGGCCTCCTAGAGGTTCCCCATTCTCCTGCCTGGGGGAGATCTCACATGCCCTGAGGACTTCACAACCCATCTGCTGCGGGGAGCCACAGGTTCTGACCCATCTTCACTGGGTAGGATGATGACGCCCGTGTTTCCTCTACCAGCCCAACCCCAAGTGCTCCCATTCCAGCCGATGGGCCTTGAGCTCAGAGCGGGAGTCCCAGCAGGGTGAGTGGGGGTGGAGGGATGGATCCAATGTGAGAGGGGACTGGGGCAGGTGGCCTGTAAGGTCACTGGAGAGAAAAGAGGCAATGAAAGAAAGAAACACAACTGGCTCTGGGGAGGGGCGCAGCCTCTGTGTAACTGTGTAGCACAGGGAGCAAAGGAGAATCCAGTAGTCACTAGGAATCCTGTGTGCCAGGGACCTCTTATGGGAGACAGAACAGAGCCTTGCACGTTGGACACCGGGAGTCACAGATGCTACGAAACACGGGAACTCCACCAGCACAGCATCCCCTACTGCTAGAATATAGCGCTGTGGGGGGAGGGGGAAAGCACTGACTGCGGGGATAGTCCCCTGCTGAGCCCCCCACGCCGCTCTCTGCAGCAAAGCACCCCCTGGTGCACAGGGATTAGCAC